AGGTGTCGATGCCCGATTCGCTGTTCGGGAGCGGGATCGATGATGAGATGTTGGCGGATGCGTTCAGAACTAATGTCAGCGTTGTTCAGGATATCAAGGCTGGGTTTCAGTAGTAATATACATAAATACAGTTTTCTGTTGTACCCGTAATAAAGGCCCTCCTCCATTCGATCAAATGTGGCAAAAATTAATTAGTCTTGTTTCGAAATCTATGTTCATTTTTATATCTCAAATGTGTAACATTTTTAGCATCGTGCATGGAATCGAATTTCAGCTTGCTAGTACGTACTGCAAATTGGTGTATCACATTTTCGTTCATAGTTCTTTCAGATCAACAGATTATGATCAGGGGGTTTCAGGGGAACTAGTTAGTCATGTGAGAAGAATGAGGTAACTGAAACCTGGGATCAAGGTTGTTTGTTTGGTTGGTTAGTTAATTGTTTGTCAGCTGCATCAAGCGTGTTGGACTGGTTAAAAAGAACGTGGAGAAATTGGAAAAAGTAGACATTTTTCTGGTGGAGTTATATAAATGATGGGTTTGGTGTGTCATCCCACTTGCAGCTACTGGTGGATTGTTAATTGGGAAGCTGGGAAGTGTTGTTACAACACAAGAATGGCATGCATGGTTATCTTAAAAAAAAAACTATGTTACAATACAAGAGTTTGGTCCAGTGGTTTTCAACTAATAACTCGAGTTGTTGAGAGACGGTTACGTTGGATCTTATACCATTCTCTAACACCCCTCCTCCCAAAACGAAAGCCAACCCATGGACTTGAAGTTTGCACAACACAGGCTCACCATACCTTGTGTTTTAATCAACTGTTAATATTGGGTGTCGTGGAGATTCGAACACACGACCACTTGGTCAAACCAGCTCTGATACCATGTCAAGAACCAGTTGATCCCAATAACTTGAGTTGTTGGGAGAATGTTATATTAGATATTATACAGGCTCATGTATATGGTACTTAACCACTTCCTTATAAAACCAACATATTTTCTCGGAGGATCAGTAATTATTTCTGTTATGAAAAAGGATTATGATAATAAACGCTCAATTTTTCGCGCTCTTGCTACGATTATGGTAATTAAGCGATTCTCTTCCGGATAACTTGTCCAACTCCATGTTAGTAAAGTTGTAACGTTTGCCAACCTGTGTTCAATACTTATAATAAGCCTTTTGATTTCTTAAGAAACCAGTTGCAGCTTTTATAGGACGTTCATTTTTTTTTTTTTTTTTACTGCCTGGAAGAAGCAGGAAACCTAGCTCAGAACTCCACGTCAGCAAGTTCTCTCTTCTTGTGGAACTGTCTTCAGGATAATCTTCAGTATATCCATCATTATAATAAGTTTTGAAAAATTAAATTATTACAATAATCTATAGTTTTACACTCATCTTTATGAAATTATGGAAATGGACAAGAACCTCCGGTTTGATCTAAGCTTTTTTTTTAGGAATGTTTAGGTTCCATCCTATTCACATCTGTATACAGGCCAAAACAACCTAACACATGTCAAACCTCAAAATGACAGCTTTAACTAAATTTAAAAATTAAACAGGATTGGCCTCATGGTAGAAGGTAAACTTCCTAATTAGGCCAAATCTCAAACCACTTTAACCTCCCTCTTATCTTTCTTCCCCACACTTCACTATAAATTTCATTACTACAACATAACTCCATCACCTCTAACTACTCTTCTCACAAAGTTCACATCTTTCACCCTTTTTCCACACAAAGTTCACAACTTTATCTTTATCCAACCATGTTCCTCCTCATCAAACTCCTCCCTCTCCTCCTCTCCTCCCTCACCCTCCTCCAACTCTCCACCGCCGGCGACCCAGACATCCTCACCGACTTCATCTCACCACCACCGGAAAACTCAAACACCACCCTCATCACCGGCGACTACTTCACGTTCACCAAAATCCGCCCGCTCTTCCACCAACGCCCCACCTCCTTCAAAATCGCCAAGGCCAGCCTCGCCGAGTTCCCATCCTTAGAAGGCCAGAGCGTCTCCTACGCCGTCCTCCAGTTCCCCGCGGGAGCCGCCAACCCTCCCCACATCCACCCACGCGCCTCCGAGCTCCTCCTCGTGGCGCGTGGGGTCCTCGAGGTCGGCCTCGTCGACAGCGCCAACAGGCTGTACACCCAGACATTGCAGTCCGGGGACATGTTCGTGTTCCCTAAGGGTTTGGTTCATTATCAGAGCAATGTCGGGAGGAACACGGCCGTGGCGTTCTCGGCGTTCGGGAGCGCGAGTGCGGGCACGGTTTCGCTGCCGACGGCGCTGTTTGGTTCGGGGATCGATGATGATGTGCTGGCGAAAGGGTTTAAGACGGACGAGGATACGGTTCGTGGGCTCGAGGCGGGTCTTGCGCCGCCGATGAAGTATTGATGATCGTGTGGTGGGGGGATTGGGATTCGATTTGTTGTTGAGCAGAATAAACGGCTGTGATCTTGTGTTTGTTGTCATGGTGTCTAATTAATGGTGTCATGGAGTTGGTTTTTTTCTTCTTCTTCTGAATTCTAGTGTTTCATGGGAATGACATGCTTTACTTTCCATGCTTGGTGTTTTCCCCTGAAGAAAAAATGTGGCTCGGAAGTGGGAGTATAATGTGGTTGAGCAATAATTAACATGCCTTCATTGAGATTAGATCAAAGAAAGGGGAAAGACAATTTATAGGAAGAATGAAGGATATAACAAATAGAAATTAAAGTGTAGAGCGGATAATACATATCCGTTATCGGTTATCCTATCTAAAGTAGTTCGAGTTTTACCCATACCCACATGTGAAACGGGTAGAAAATCAAAAACCATGCTCATAGCCATTCGGATTTCGGGTATCCACGGTTACCCTGGTCCCTGGGTAATAATTTCTCTCCATAACTCCAACCAATATGTTAACATTCACACTTATTCTCACATTGCGTAAGAGGAAAAGTACGGCAATAATTCTCTAGAATGAAGAAAATTATAATTAAAACAACACAATTTCATGAAAATATTATATTTATATGCTAAATACAAAATATGTTAGAGAAAAATAATGATTATTTCTAGACAAAATGCATATGCATGTGTAAAATCGGGCGGGTTCGGATTGGATAGTGAGAAACTCATGTCCGCCTATTACCCACAATATTCGGGTTCGGGTTTTACCCGTACCCACTAAATATCTTTCAGGTTCGGGTTTTACCCTACCCGATTAGGCCGAATATCCACGGTTACGGATATTTTTGCTATCCAATAGGCTTTTATTTATGTGTTTAACTTTCATATTGGGTAAACTCAGATCAGGAATGAAATATACACTTTTCCGTTTGAGGTTTGAACAATGTTTTTACCCAAAATATCCACTAAAGTTAATAATGAAATATACCTATCTCCTAGTCGTTTTTTGAATAAATATAAAAAATCAAAAATCAAAAGTAATTTGTTATTCACGGATGATTTGATAAAGACATGTCTAATAGGTTGAATATGATTGAACTTAAAAAAACAAAGCTCAAGAGTCAAATGTTCATCCCTCTCAGGCTCATAAAAAATAAAGTTCAATATTGTTCCTATACTGTATATTTTTATTTATACCATGTATACCATACTGCTAAGGTAGATAAAACTTATACATTATGTTTGATGAAAACTTGAAGAGAAGGTATTTTTTAGCCTATGATAATTATTGCTAAGAGACTAAGTCAATACAAAACACAGCAATTCATTAACCCCATAATACTTCTATTGACTATAAGATAATTGTGTTAGTTACATGTATTTATGTTAAAAATTAAGTACTATAACTCTAAGTTGATTGTTATGTTGCATTAACCGAAGCTTTTCTCGTTTAATTGATAATATGATGTTATATTGATTAATTTGGTTAATTAATTAACTGGACTGATTAAATTTTAGTTTGATTAATTTGGTTAATGTATTAGTTTGGGCTGTTTAATTATAATATTGTATTCCATAATTAAAAGAATTTAGATTTATATGATTTGATAATTATCATCATAATCATTTGAACACCTCTACTTGCTTTCTTGGTAAACAAAACACTATACATTAAATAAATCAATAAGGTCATTGTATGCAAATAAATTACTGTTTTTTTAGATCTTGTAAATGTCACCCCTAAAGGCTATAATGTAAGAAGTCTTGATTTATGAGCCGATAAAACCAAGAAACGGACAGAAGAACGAAGGAAAACATACCTACATTTGTCACAAGGCTTTATTCTAACTTGGTTACCGAAATTTATTTGGTCCACGTTTTTCAGGCAGGGAGAGGTTTGTGCGGCTTATGCCTTACTTTCTTGTCAATATATTGTACGGAACAGTCCACAGCTATCCTAGGTTACATCCACCATTATTGATCCACCCATGAGCTGGTGAATTGAGCTGGGGCCTTGTTTGTCACCAGCTGCTCCACAATACTTGGATCCTTTTCCCGTTTATTCACCATCTCAATAACTCGAATTATTGGAAAAGTTTCATGTATGGATTTTAAATATTTCTTTATATAAGTCTACTCAAAAGAAAAAATATAACCCAACATATAGTGAAACTGTTCTCTCCTGTTGCATGAAGGTAGCTATACACATTATGTTCTTAAACCACGTAAATCTCTGCATTGTTTACTTTCTTGCGTTGTCGATTTCCCAATCCGTTCCAACAAAACTTCACATATATATCAATATTGTTAGAGAGTGATATAAGATCCAGCATAACCTTCTCCAACAACTCGAGCTATTAGGAACAACTGGTTTATGACATGGTATCTGACAGGCTCATAACCCACAGGTCCCTGGATCGAAACCAAACTCTGATACCATGTCATAAACCAACTAGGTCAAATTACTCGAATTGTTAAGAGAAAATTATGTTGGATCTTATACAACTCTCTAACAAATATCAACCACCTCCATACCCGCTATATAAATATTCTCCTAAACCAAAGTGATTTCATCAAACAAAACACCTTCTTACACACCACCACCATGGCCTCCACAACACTCAAACTCTCCACACTCCTCACCATCATAACCTCACTCACCACCATCAACCTCCAACTCTCCACCGCCGGCGACCCCGACATCCTCTCCGACTTCATCCTCCCACCAGGCGTAGCCAACCCACCAGACGCCTCATTCTTCACCTTCACCGCATTCCGGTCCCTTCTCGAGGGCTCCAACCTCACGACGTACAACTCCCTCAAAGCTTCCGCCGCCGAGTTCCCCGCCCTCAACGGCCAGAGCGTCTCCCTCGCCGCCCTCCGTTTCCCGCCGGGCACCACCAGCCCGCCCCACGCCCGCCCCCGCTCCGCCGGGCTGATGCTCCTCCTCGCCGGGACCCTCGAGGTCGGGTTCGTCGACACCGCCGGCAGGCTGTTCGACAGGAAGCTTAGGGCCGGGGACATGTTCGTTTTCCCCAAGGGGTTGGTCCATTTTCAGTATAACGGTGGGGAGGAGGCGGCGCTTGCGTTGGCTGCGTTTGGGAGCGCGGACGCCGGGACGGTGTCGGTGCCGGAGACGGTGTTCGGGACCGGGATGGACGATGAGGTGTTGGCGGTGAGCTTTAAGACTGGAGTTGATACTATTCGTGCTCTCAAGGCTGGTCTTGCCAACGCTGAGCATTGAATAGTAGTATTTGTCGTTTTGGGGTTTTTATTATTATTATTTGAACTTATTCGTATTTATTATTGTTTTTTTGGGTTAAATGCTGTTCTTGTTATTAAAAGTGGTGTATTCAAGATTCTATATAAGGTGAGTTGAGTTTGATTTTTTTTTTTTTAATATTGTAAGAAAATCTTTAGACCACTTATAGTGTTCCACAATGTGTTCTCATATCTTGAAAGATGTAATTCATATGACGTCAATATCGCCAGGGTTGTCCAATGGATCGCGGGAGGCCCTATTCCGAAATTGAGATGTGGTCCAGATTGATTTTTAGGCATAATAAAATTAAAATGACTGATATACCATTATTGGGAATGTAATATCTTTTTATATTTTTTAAAATAAAATTTTCAATTGTTATCATTAGGGGTGGGAAACGGTGCGGTTGCGGTTAACTGCACCGCAATTTGCGGTTAACTGCAACCGCAAAACACCCATATTGGCCAACCGCGACCGCAACGGTTAGCGGTTAACCAAAAATCGCAGAACGCGGTTAGCGGTGAACCGCGGTTTATGGTTGTGAAACCGCAACAACCGAAACACCATATGAAACCGCAGTTAGCACTCTAACCGACAATTAACCGCGAACTAACCGCAAAAAAATCATGGAAAAAAAAACACAGCAGCTACTGTTTTGTCTATTTTCACTTCCATCAAGCCCCTGCATCTGTCTGCATATCCAAATAACACAATCCACAAGCACAAATGCACAATGCCACAATCCTGCTGGCTGGGCTGGCGTCAATTATGGGCTGGGCTGGGGGTGAATTATGGGCTGGGTCTGGTTTCGCGGTTAGCTTTGCGGTTATATGGATTTGCGGTTTCGGTTGCGGTTAAACCGCAAACCGCAAAACAGGCCATATCTCCAACCGCGACCGCAAAATAGGCCAAATATGCGGTTTGCGGTTAACCAATAACCGCGCGGTTTCGGTGCGGTTGTCGGTTTAACCGCAAACCGCCAACCGTTTTCCCAGCCCTAGTTATCATAGCTATTTCATTAAGGTTTTTTTATTTATTATGTTTTAACAATAAATATACTTGTGTAGTGCATATATACATGTATATTAACCAATAACTAACATTAATTTTCATTAATATAATTAAACTCGTCATCATAATCATAATCAATTAATCATACACTAGAAATACAACTTACAATATACGATGGGATTTACTAGAAGACCTAGGTGAAGGCCCCTAACATTCGAAGGCGGGTAGGTTGGCAAACCCTTGGCTGGCCCTGAATCTCGAATATCTTAGCATCATTTATAAATTTGCAACTCCTTCAATACTAAAAAGTTTTTTTTACAAATATCTCATTGCAAATTTCCTTTCAGCACTTGTGGTGGAGCACTGGAGCTAGGCACGTAGCAACAACACTAAGTTACAACGATCAAGAAAAACTCAAAAATTCTATCTTGTTTTAACCAATCTCACTATTCAACCTACATTAATTTGATCACCTGATAGTTTGTAGAGTAGAGGCATTTAATTAAACAGTTATCAACTCCCATACCGAAAGAGTTCACTACATGATGAACCATTGTTGAATAATAAAAGCAAAAAGTTTTATGTGTCTTACTTGTTAGGAATGAAAAATCGTATCGTATCAACGGTTCGATCAGAAAACCCTCCTACTGGAAGTTGAAATTGATACCCGGTATTTAGCGGCATAAAAAGTTTGAACCACGATTTTAGCATAAAATATTATACCGCTAATTTTTTCGATACAACCTCCAATACGATATTTCAATCATTTGTTTTCTTCCATATTAGTAAACCCAGAATGTCCCGGATGATTACTAGATCATACCTTTCAAAGTTACATTGTCGCCGAAATTTGTAACATATTACAAAAAGGGACAATATTGTTGCGCTTTACTTTAATTTTCTTGCTTGCTGCCGCCTCATTTTGTTCCGAGACACGCATGGAGACAGAGGGAAGGGACAAGCACAGTGTTCATCACCATAGATCCAGACAACCAGCTGCTATTCTCAAGCATAATATCTGAAATGCCCATCACACATTCCTTTCAGACATTGAAGTTGATTTTGGGTCGTCGAACAATTGTCGGCAGAATATCACGATAACAACGTCTGATGGACAATGTTGTTGCACATTAATGTTCTGTATCCTGCCTGTTTTCATGTCATTGTACAGAACTAGAGGTGGCAAATGGATTGGATTGGTGGATTGTTGGATTGGATTGGTGGATCCATGGATCAAATAGATTGGATCTAATGGATTGGTGGATTCATGGATTGGATCAAGTGGATTGGTGGATTATCCATGAATCCAAATGACATCCTCAACCAAGGACCAATATGTAAAATGTAAAAAGTTTAGGTACTAAAATGTCACAATGAAAAATTTTAGGTACCAAAACGTAATTTCCAATGATATTTTTCGTATAAAAAATTAAATTTTAGGTACCAAAATGTAAAAAATAAAAATTATAGGTACTAAACCGTAATTTGCCAATAATCCATGGATCCAATCCATGAATCCACCAATCCAATTGGATTTGGATCAAATGGATTGGATTAGGTGGATATTTTTAATGGATTGATGGATTGGATTGGTGGATTGGATTGAAATTGCCACCTCTATACAGAACACAGTCTGTAGTACAGCAGAGTACACAACCTAGGTTTCATCCAACAAATTGAGCTGGAGAACACAACTAATAAAGCCTTCTTTCTTGTAAGTAGGCCAATCTTCCAACACATTCATGATCACCAGTCTATGCCACCCTTTAATTTCCACCACCTTGCACCAGTGTGTCAAATTCCAAGGGAAATCAAGTTCCATATACGATCTACAAACGCGCGTTTTCTATTTTCCTAATTACGTTACTTTATTAATGGGGTTGATTTTTTTTGGCTCTTGCATTCAAATACAGACAAAACTAGATGCGTATGTCAAATAACCAGTCCATTAATTTCCAGTAATTTGAATTGTTAGGAGCTTCACAAAATTAAATTCTTTCATATCGTCTTTTTCGTTTTATTAATTTCATATTTGCAGGGACTTACCATATATACCATATGCGTGATTATCAAATGCCTTAGTATCGAGAGTTGTCAGGGATTCGACACTAATAATCCTTCCGATCAATGATCAAAAGCCGATGTCACGTTAAAAACGTATTATCGTGTGCGCAAATTACAGCTGAAATTATTACGAGAAATCTAAGAATGCCTTATATCATTCTAATTGCCTATCATATTACCTCCTTAACAAGGAAGAACATGTGTATATCATCTTGTTGTAATCTCCATCCATACCAATAACGAAGTTGTACCATATGCCAAATAGCTAGCTAGCACATATAGTGATCATTTTTGCCTTGTTCCCATATCACCTTTTCCTTCATCTCCCCATTTCCTCTATAAAATCTCCTCCAAACCCAACCTTATTTTCTCACACACACCAATACCAATACCATCCATCTCTCCCACCACTTCCACCATGGCCTCCACGATCAACTTCTTCTTCACGTTCCTCACCATAGCCACAACATTATGTCCCCTCCTAATCTCACCGTCGACGGCGAGCGACCCCGACATCCTCTCCGACTTCATCCTCCCACCAAACGTCACAAACCCTAACGCCTCCTTCTTCACCTCCACCTCCTTCCGCGCCCTCCTCCAACCCTCCAACCTCACCACCTTCACCGCCATCAAGGCCACCATGGCCGAGTTCCCCGCCCTCAACGGCCAGAGCGTCTCCTTAGCCGCCCTCCGCTTCCCCTCAGCCACCGCCAACCCTCCCCACACCCACCCACGCGCCGCCGAGCTCCTGTTCCTCGTCTCGGGCGCCCTCGAGGTCGGAGTCGTCGACACGACGAACAAGCTGTTCACAAGGACGCTTCGGGCCGGGGACATGTTCGTTTTCCCCAAGGGGCTGGTTCACTTTCAGTATAATGCGTGGGAGGAGGCGGCGCTAGGGTTTTCGGCGTTCGGGAGTGCGAATGCCGGGCTAGTGTCGCTGCCGGCGACGCTGTTTGGGACGGAGATTGATGATGAGGTTCTGGCGAAGGGATTCAAGACGGATGTTGACACCGTGAGGGGTCTCAAGGCTGGCCTTGCCACCAAGCATTAGAGGAAGATAGATGTATTTGGTTGTTCTTCTTTTTATTTATTTGTGTAAGGTTGATGACTATGGTTATGAATAACAACGTGCCCTAAACAGGAACGTGGAGGGTACATTTTCTAAATCAATTGTTGGGATTTTCTTGTGAACATTTCTTAATAAGCACCCAAAATATTCACTTAAGTTGAAAATGAAATATACCTAGCCGCGTCAGATTGGCGTACGTCAGGCGTATACTACACGTCAGGTACTACTAGTGAGATATATCTCTATCTAGACCATGGATTAAATCGAGTTTGGGGTATGATACTATACCCTAATCTCTAATGGATAAACCCAGACGCCGATTTTCTAAACCCCAACCCGAAGTTTGATGTGATGAAAAACAAAAATTGACCGTTGAGATCGGCCGGAGCTTATCTAAGTACTTCTAACGGTTAGATCACCTGCTGTATGATATACGCCAGACGTACACCAGTCATTACCGGCTACCTTATAGTCGTTTTCTAATAAATATCAAAGTGAAAAGTAGTTTGTTTATTCGCCGCGATGATTTGATCAAGACATGTCTAATACGGTTGAACTTGATTGAGGTTATTCTTTGCACACATTGGATTGATTTTTAACGTTCCCGAGCACTTTGGCAAATCAATGATCATCATCATCCAATCACTTGCCCCAATTTCCTCATCTTCTCGTAAACAACAACAACAAAAAACAGAGGAGCTCCCATTACTAGACAGAAGACATGCACCCATAGGTTTCATCCCAGCGATGGTGGACTTTCTAAGGTTTGATTGTTTGTTGTTGCTGCATTTGTCTAAGGAGAAACATATTCCTAAAGAATATTATATAGGCTTATTGGCAAGGATTAATTCACCCTAGATAACATTATAGGGTTTGCCTTCCCGCTAATCTTTAAGGAGGCTTTTTATTTTTGACAATATCTTAAAGAGTGTCTTGGAATCTCTAATTAAGATGCATAGAAATTGTGAGGTATGATGTGAGAGGTTGGACAAAACCAATGAGTTCAATGCAACAATTGAGTCTATATGTAATCCGCAACATATTTAAGACGACCTTGAACTAATACCAACTCAGTTTAGATAAATTGCATATGCTTTTGCATGCAATTCCGCAACATCGTCTTTTTAATAATTTCACCAGCTAGCTAACACTAGTCACTTACAGTTCAGAATAAAGATTTCGAATTAATGGTTCATATGAGTTTATTGATTCAAGAAATCGAAACTCACTTATGTGAAAGCGAGAAGTCTTTTGTCAAGGAAAAGAAAGTATTCCATCAAAACCTATATCTTTATAGTGGTCATGACCGGTGACATGTCACCCCGTAGAAGATTAATAAAAAATTATCCGCTAAAACAATAGTTCATTATTAGCACCCAAATGCATTAATTCAGAGCCTATCATTAAGTCGCAACGATAACTTTATATCATTTAGTTACAGAAACAGGATCTAGTTCTGATACCATTTTCATCCACATCTATCTTCCCTCTCTCTCTCTCTCTGATTTGCTTCTTCCTGGTATTTAATTTATGAACTGTAGGGTAGGCTCCACTGGATCTTCTTCTTCTTCATCGTCGAAGACACGAAGCTGTTGTCAAGAGAGAGAGAGAATGCGTCTAGAGAGAGAGAGTGAGAGAGGGAGAGCGCAAGAGAGTAGAGCGAGTGGTCTTCCTCTGTTTTGCAGGTCTCAGGCTTCAGCGGTGGATAGCGGCGGCGGTCAGCATGACGGGTGTCGGAGGCAGATGTGTGTGGGAACCAAGGTTGTGTCTTGTAGCAGAGAATTTACGAAGGCTTCTTGGTGTTACAGACTTTAGGTCGAAGAAGGGAGGAAGTATTGGTTCATCAGGTTGGATGAGGGTCTTATTTCCTGGCTTCAAGGGACGCTTCAAACTGCTGCAATGAAGGGTTGGGTCTTCTCTGCGACTTGTGTCAAGAGAAGTGGCGACCGAACAATTCATGTTGGGAGGGGATCCAACCGTCGGGGTCAGTTTCTGCAGATTTCAGTTCAACTTCGTAACGGGAGATACTACAAAGTCTTTATCCCCCCCTCGTCTTCAGGCAATGGCTGGTCTGGGCTCATCAGACTCCTCCAAGAATTTTACTCGACTGAACTTCAAGCCCGTCTCCAATCCTCGTTCGGGGTCAAGGAGTCCGACTATCCTCCCCCCCCCCCTCCTCCGAACGGGCATTCGGGTAAATCCTATGCTGAGGCAGTGAAGTTCGGCGGCTTTTATGCGTCGGGCAGGTGTTCTATTAAAGAAAGCAATGGAGATCGTTTCATAGAGGTTAGCGAAGAGGGGGTTCGGGAACGTTGTGAACTTTTGGGTAGAAGCCTGGTCTTAAGATTTGTGCCTCCCAATTCTGATATTCCCTCTAGCATTTCAATGCCTCTGTTTCGACGGTGGATGAAGAGGTATTGGGCTGTCGATGATAATTTCTCGTTGGAAGATTGCTCAGATGGGAATTGGTTATTAATCTGTCCAAGCATACAAGAAGCACTACGTATTAAGGGGTTTAATAAGGCTCGGTTCCAGAATATCTCTATCGACATCAAGCCTTGGCAGGAGAAGATTGTGGCTGCTTCATCTGAAGATGTTTGGATCCTCGTCTACAATATCCCTCTGCATCTCAAGAGCGTAAATCTTATCAAGGAAGTTGGAAATTACTGTGGCAAGTTAATTGAGATCGACTGGAATGCTTGGTTTCTTCCTTGTATAAGAATCAGAGTTAGACCTGAGGGCCCTCTTCCCAGAGTAATCCCAGTATTCCATGACGGCCGGCAATTCTGGATCAGTATTGTGTGTCCGCCGGCGTATGGAGACGGCCATGTTAACGGCGAACGGAATAATTATGGGGTGTGGAAGTCGAAGAACCATGGGTCAGCGGCCGCCTCCAGGTCCTCGGGCCCTTCGTGCATGCGTGCGGGTACGGACCAATGGGATTCGGAAGGCGTTTTGGCTTCCCCTGCTACGTGCAACGGCTCGTCCAGACATTCGACTTGGGCTAGGAAATCAATTCAAAAAATTTGGATTAGGAAGGCTGGGCCTATTTGGATCAATCCTCAATCTCGGGCCTCCGTTCCCATTGTCCCTCCTTTGGCCCCATCCTTATCCTGCCCCGGGCCTTACACTCTTGCTCAGACCCATGAAGAATCTGGATCCATTGTCCCTTCTTTGTCCCCTTCCGCCCCCTGCCCTGGGCAATCCATCCTCGCTCAGACCCTTGAAGAATTAGACTTTGGGAGACTTCTCATCCTAATCCGATCTTCCTCCTCCCCGCCCATCCGGCTCTCTAGCCAGTCACCTTTTACCCTTATCCTTTCTTGCTCCCTGGATCTTTCTGCTTTCTCTAGTATCCTCCCTTTCCTTTTCCCTTCGACTGCTCCACCCCCTCTCCTCCCCGTCTTGGGGTCTCCCCTAACCCTCTGTGATGACTTCAATTTTGATCCAAATCTATCCTTTACCCCAGGCTCTAGCACCGATCTTTGCCCTTCCACCCCTAACTCGAGCCCCATCCCCTCCCTTTCGACTGCCGTCAGCCCCACCTCCAGTTTTTGCCTTGATTCCTCCCTACCCTCGCCTTCTTGTCTGGAGGACGTCGGAGACCGTGATTGGGATTTTGAGAGTTACCCATTTGATCTGCAAACCTTGGTCGAGAAGAGCACTGAAATGGGACAGCTATTCGGTTTGGAGCATGAAGAAGGTCAACAGGTCTCAAACCAGATCATTCTCTCCAAAGCGCAACGTACGCACGAGATAAGAGTTAGAAATTCCCGAACAAAGCTGGATATGGAGCTACGCAGGCTCGGGCCTCTGGATGCCCCTGTGTCTGGCCCGAGAAGACGAAGGACAAGGACGGGGGAAGTTAGTGACTTTTCTTAATGGGGTCCTCTGCCTTATTCTGGAATGTGAGGGGTCTGGGAGACCCGGATAAGCGGCTTCGAGTCAAAAGCTTCATTAACCGCAGGAATCCTAGTATAGTTGGTCTTGTGGAAACTAAACTCGATCAGTGCTCGGACATGATTGTGAGGAGTTTATTTGGTAGGAGGAGCTTCAGTTGGGTTGGTAAACCTGCGATCGGTAGTGCCGGGGGTATCCTCATTACTTGGGATTCGTCTCTGTTTAGTTTGCAATCTGATAAGGTTGGCAACTTCTGTATTTGTGTGGAATTCCTGGAAATTTCTTCCTCAAAAGCTTGGCATTTGTTGGTTGTTTATGGTCCTCAAGATCGTAGAGACAAGCTCTTGTTTATTGAAGAGATTAATGGTTTCTGCCAAGACGTTCATGGTCCGATATGTATCGCTGGCGACTTCAACTTAGTTAGAACCCATGATGACTACATTGGTGTTAGGCGCAGCCCGGATCTCATGGCTGAATTCAATCTCTTGATCGATAACAATTCTCTGATTGATCTTCCTCTGGGAGGGAGCAGGTTCACTAGAAGTGGTGGTTTTGGGTCTGGCTCTTTGTCTCGCATAGACCGGGTTCTAATTTCTACCGATTTTGATGTTCTTTACTCTGATTGCTCGCTGTATGCTCTTGAGAGGATTGACTCTGATCATAACCCGCTTCTTCTGAAATGGGGTGATGTTGGGAGAATTAAAAGGCCGTGGCGGTTCGAAATCATGTGGCTGGAAGATGATAGGTTCTTCAGAGATATTCCGGGTTGGTTTGAGGCTAATATTTCTGGGTCTGGTATGATTTTTCGTTGGTCAAAACGGCTGCAGGATCTGAAATCTAAGCTTAAATTGTGGAACAGGGAGACTTTTGGCAATATCAACACCAGGATAGAAGAGCTGCTTCGGGGTATTAATAACCTTGACATAATGGAAGAGAATGGGGATGTTTCCAGTGAAGTTCAAAGTCTGAGGAACAGTTATAAGATTGATCTTGAGAAGCTCCTTACTCTTCATGAGATCAGCTGGAGACAAAAGTCGAGGGAACTCTGGGTGAAGGTGGGTGAACGCAATTCGGGATTCTTTCATAGAGCTGCCAACTTCAGAAGGAAGTTAAAATACATTAATTTGATCAAAATTGATGGCGTCCCAGTGGAAGGCAGAGAAGAATTGGCTCAGGCTGTGGTTTCCCATTATCAGAATCTTTTCCTTGACAGGTTCCCTTTGCGTCCCTTCCCGAGGTTCCAGCTGGATTACAGGCTGTCTGATTTTGATAAAAATATACTGTCTCAACCTTTCTCAGAAGCAGAGATTCTTGCTGTATTGAGAGACAGCGATGGTGGCAAAGCCCCGGGTCCTGATGGGTTTCCTATGGAGTTCTACAAACGATGCTGGGATGTGTTGAGGCCCGAGATTCTCAGCGCCTTTGGCGAATTCTATGATTCAGGTTTTCTCCCTAAATGTGCCGCGCATTCATTTATCTGCTTGACTCCCAAGAAAGACACGATTGAGGATATCAAAGATTTGAGGCCTATTAGTCTCCTGGGCAGCATCAATAAGCTCCTTAGTAAAGTCTTGGCGCGCAGGTTGGGTCTGATTCTGCCTAAGGTGGTTACACAGTTCCAGCATGCTTCTGTTCGTGGCAGACAGATTTCGGAAGCCGGATTGATTGCTAATGAGCTGGTGGATAGTCGGAAGAAAAGCCGGAAACCTGGTCTAATGTTCAAGCTTGATATAGAGAAAGCGTTCGACAATGTGAACTGGAACTGTCTTTCTAAAGTTCTCTCGTCTTTGGGCTTTCCGACGAGATGGTTGAAATGGATGAAAGGTGTTATGTGCTCCCCCATGTATTCCATTCTGATTAACGGTGAAGCCAAAGGCTTCTTCACTGCTCAAAAAGGGTTAAGACAAGGCGATCCTCTTTCGCCCGGTCTTTTTGTGCTCATCATGGATATTCTATCCTATATGATCTCTCGGCTTCAGCAGGAAGGCAAAGTTAAAGGCTTTTGTATGGATGAAGACCATGGGCAAGGGGAAGTCACCCATTTGTTGTTTGCAGACGACTCTCTTATCTTCTGCGATGCTTCTCAAGATCAGGTTCTGAACATCTTGGCTGCCCTGGTGTGTTTCCAGGCAGTCACGGGATTGAAAATCAACCTTGATAAATCGGTTATGTACACTGTGGGGGACGTCCCGGAGCCAAGCTTTTTCGCCTCCATTTTCGGATGTAATTGGAGTCGGGATCCTTCTATTTACCTCGGGTTTCCCTTGGGAGCTAAGCCGAATGGAGTTAGGATTTGGGAACCTCTCGAAGCCAGCTACAAGAAGAATCTCCAAGGATGGAAGGGGAGACATTTGTCCTTTGGGGCTCGGTTGGTTCTGATTAAATCAATCCTATCTAGCAAACCGGTTCATCTCTTCTCTCTACTCAAAGCTCCCAAAGGTACCATTAACAGACTTGAACAAATCCAGAGGCAATTCTTATGGCAAGGGACTGGGATCGATTTCAAGAGTCCCTTAGTTAGATGGGAGGTGTGTAAGGCCTCGAGGAACAACGGTGGCCTCGGCATTATTGACCTTGCCAGTTTTAACAGTGCTTTACTTGCTAAATGGGCCTGGAGATTTTCCGCTGATCGTGATAGTTGGTGGAAGAGTCTCATTTCTATCAAGTATCCCAACTGCTTGTCCTCTTGGCAGCCTGGTCGCATTCATGGTGGTTATTCGAAATCAGTCTGGTCCAACATTTGCAGAGATTTTGATAAATTTTGGAAGCTGGCTTGCTTGGACCCTGGTAGCGGGTCTGACGTTTCCTTTTGGCATGATTATTGGTGTCCCGGTAGCACCCTCGCCTCTAGATACCCCCGTGTTGCTGCTGCCGCCTTACACCCTGCTGCCCGGATCTCTGATCTGCACCACTGCTCAGGTGAGAATGTAGGGTGGGTTATTCCTTTAAATTGTTCTCTTCGGGGGGGTGCTGAGCGAGAGCGGCTTGAACTCCTAAATTTTCTAAATTCTTCTGCTGCTGGTCGCATATCTAATGGTCCCGGTAGGCTGGTTTGGCTCCCAAATCCAGACTCTGGTTTCTCTGTTTCTTCTATGTACAGGACTCTGGTGGATGATCTTTTTCCGGGTGTTGCTAACTACCCCGTTGCGTCTATCTGGAAGGCTATTATCCCAACCAAGGTGTGTTTCTTCCTATGGACTTTGTCGCATTTGAAGCTGCGTACGATTGACAAGTTGAAGAGCTGGGGGCTAAACCTGGCGAACAGGTGTGATCTTTGCAAATGTCAAGAAGAGACCGCTAACCATCTATTTGTGGATTGCGCCTTTGTCCGAGATGTTTGGAGTGGCATTACCAGAGCTTGCCCACTCGTGGAGCCGCCGCGTGGAGATATTGTTACGGTTCTTCAGTCTTGGCCTTCGGAGGTTCCGGATAATGTGAACTCCTGGTTTTCCTTTGCTGCGCTTCACTCAGTCTGTTGGCACGTCTGGCGGGAGAGGAATAGACGCATTTTCAATGATTGCAGTAGCCCCGCCAGAGTTGTTTCCAAAAATGCGTGTAAAGAGGTTATTGAATGGATTTCTGCTCATAACAAGGTGGATAGATATATTTGTTCTCAATGGCTCAACGAGAGAATTCAGAGGATCTGATCCTCCTGGCTCCTCGCTGCTCTGACGCGATTTGTGTGGATCCCCTGATAGTGCTTGGAGTTTGTCTGCTGTATCTGTGGCGGGCTATGCCTCATTGAGTCTCTTTGGGGGCTGTTCACTTCCGCTGGGGGGTTGAGCTCGTCTGCTGCTCATTTGGTGGTTCTCCTGCAAGGTGTTCTTTGGTTGCTGCTGTTGTATTCTGTTGGGTCTATGTTAGTGAGGGAAGGTCTCGTAGCAGAGTTTGGTGAGAGGGCGGTGCTATGTTCGTCTCCTGTTGCTGGGTCTGGTTTTTGTGTCTTCGTTTTTTTCCTTTGTTTCCCGGCGAGTGGGAGCAGTCTGGTCTGCTTTTCTCTGTCGCTTTTTGTGTCCCGTGAGCTGCCTTCCTCTCTTGGCGCTCATGTTCGTTTGTTTTTTCTTTCTTTCTTTTTCTCTGTTCTTTCGGTTGTGGCTCTGTGAGATCAGGCCTTGTGATCTCCTTGTCTGTACAGTGTTTGTTTCCTTTTCTCTTCTTGCAATAAAATTCATCACCATTATAAAAAAAAAAAACTTTATATCATTTAATCTCAAAATTAGATTGAATACAAACATAAAATTCACTGAGGAAACCCATGCATGAATGGTACATAGACATTTCTCCATTCGAACAATATTTTTACCCAAAGTATCCACTTAAAAGTTAACATGAAAAATATACCTAGCTCCTAGCCGTTTTCTGATAAACATCAAAATGAAACCTGAAAAGTAATTTGTTATTCACCTACGATTTGTCCAAGACACATGTCTAATTACAGGCTAAATTTGATTGAGGTTATTCTTTTCACACATTTCTGATTATAGGGGCAAATCAATGATCACCATCTCCCAATCACTTGCCCCAATTTTCCTCTTCTGGAAACAACAACAAAAAAGACAAGAGGAGCTCCCATTACCAGACAGAACACATACACCCATAGGTTTCATCCCACTGATGGTGAGCTTTCTAAAGTCTCGATGGTACGGTGTCGTTGTTGCAGTTGTCTAACGAGAAACATATATATTCCTAAAAAGAATATAATATACGGTTTTCTTGGCAAAAAATCGGTTTCTCCTCCAACAATGACAACAACAACCACAACACATAACACCAAACCTTACCTCGTAATAATCTCCATCCATCCATGGCGAAATCGAAGCTGCATACGCCCATCCAATTAGTGGTGTCTATTCGGGTTTGGTTTTTCGGGTTTACCCAAAACCGACCCGATTATATACATTTTCGGTTTTTCGGGTTCGGGTTTGTTTTGGGTTTCGCATTTTTTTGTTTCGGGTTCGATTTTGCTTATCTTTTTTCGGATTTCGACTGAAAACCTCCAATGAATAAAAATCAGCTTGTATTCTTAGACGTTTGAGTTTTCGAGATTCGATTTTCAATGATTCTCGGTTTCGAGTTTTCAGATTTTTTCGGATTTCGGTTCGAGTAACCAAACCCGACCCGAACTGACAGCCCTACATCCAATGCATATATAAGTAGCATGCACAACCCATCTCCAACCTCACAACATCACTCGCACTAAACTCTAAACCCTAAAACCCCTAAACCTTCAACCGTAATCAGTATTTCATCGTCAATCATGGCCACCGTCAAGCTCATTTCCCTCCTCGTAGCTTCCCTCGCCATCATCATCCAGCCCGCCATCTCCGGCGACCCGGACATCCTCACCGACTTCATCACCCCACCGAACACCAACACCATCGACGGCTCCTTCTTCACCTTCTCCGGCTTCGGCTTCCTCGTCAACGGCACCCAGCTCCCCGACAAGTTCACAGTCGTGAAGGCCACCATGGCCCAGTTCTCCGCCCTCAACGGCCAGAGCGTCTCCTACGCCACGCTCCTCTTCCCCAACGGCACCACCAACCCTCCCCACACCCACCCACGCGCCGCCGAGCTCCTCTTCGTCCTCGACGGCGAGCTCAACGTCGGCTTCGTCGACACCGCCGGCAAGCTCTACACCCAGAACCTCCAGGTCGGCGACATGTTCGTCTTCCCCAAGGGCCTCGTCCACTTCCAGTACAACGCCGGGGCGGGCTACGCCATCGCTTTGTCGGCTTTCGGGAGCGCGAACGCTGGAACGGTGTCGCTTCCCGGTACGCTGTTCGCGACCGGTATAGACGACGTCGTTTTGGCTAAGTCGTTCAAGACGGACGTCGGCGTCATTCAGAAGCTCAAGGCTGGCCTCGCCGTCAAGCCCTGATTAATCATGATTTAATAAATTATCTAAATTAATAAATTTTATTGTACGTGGCCTGATTTTCCGCCATTTTTGTTTGCTTTGTTTTGTTGTGACTTGTGGTCCGATAATGAATGAATGAATAAGCCACACGGTGGATGTAGCATTTCTTTCAAATGGGCTATGCAGTTTGTGTGATGGGCTTTTAGAATTTGGGCTTCTGTTTATGAAATGGGCCGGACCAAGTCCACCTACAACAGCCCAGCCCGCAACATGCATATCATTATCAAAATATCAGTTTGAACTATGAAGGAGTAGGGAGAAGAATCACACTGCCCCTCGTTTTGCCGCTGATCTTTCTGCCACGTCACCCAAATCGATATAAAAGGAGATTCGGTTATGTCTACCACACGCGCTTAACTTTTTTTTTTTCCTTTTTTTTCCCCCCCACCTTCTAGGGAAAGAAATAGCCAAATAGGCCATTCTCTTTTCCTTTCCCTTTACTCTGCTCATGGACGAGACGAATCGCCGATTCACAGATAACTGACCCGACCCGTCTTCCAGCCCGATGGACATCCACGGATCTGCTGCACGCTTCCGCCACCGGAAATCCTCTCCTTCCTCCGACCGATTCCTCGACGCCTTCTTCTCGCCGCCGCTCCACCGCGACAAGGACAGCGTCCTCTCCGCCGCCGCCGCCGAGGACAGCGAGCTCAACGAGGACGATATCTTCTCCACGGGAGACTTCTCCTCCGATTCCGCTCGGAGCCAGCACCAACAGAGGCACAACCACCTCCGCAGCGCTCCCCCGCCGCGCCACAAGGCCTTCCCCGATTCGTTCGGAATCCTCGCGGCGTTGCCGGAGAACAGAACCGGCGGCGGCAGCGGCGTAGCCGCGCCGCATCACCACCATCACTTGTACCAGAAAACCGCTCTCTCCTCGCCTCCTTCCACCTCCTCCACCGCGTCTCCGTTGTCGAATTCGTCGTCCTCTCGCCTCATCCCCTGCATCCCCAAGCCGCCGCAGGATAGGTTACCGTCGTCGTCCTCGTTCTCCTCCTCCTTCTCCAAGCACCAGCACCCGCAGTCGGCGCCGATCAATGTCCCCGTCCTCGCGTCCGCGATGGCCAGGAGGCGGATCAGGGACTTCGATGAGATTGACGAGCTGGAGGACGAGGATGAAGGCGACGGGGGCGAGATGCTTCCCCCGCACGAGATCGTGGCCAGGACGCAGTCCCCGATTCTGTCCTGCCCCGTGCTGGAAGGCGCCGGGAGGACGCTTAAGGGAAGGGATCTTAGACAGGTAAGGAATGCAATCTGGCGGCAAACTGGCTTTCTAGATTGATTCGTTGAAAGATTGGAAAATTGTTTGTTTTCTTTCTAGGGATTTTAGGGTTTCTGCAACAGACAGACAGTCCCCTTCTCTGTTGTAAGTAAGAAATTGCTTTTGGTGATTGTTAGAATGGGAAATTGTGTATATCCTCAGTTCATTCTCAATGAAATTGGTCTTTTCCCCCATGTTTGTATGGTCAGAGCTTCGCTATACTGACTGGTTTGTAAGCTCGAATCCTCGTAGCTTCGAGCGAATGCTATCAGGTCGCGCCATAAGCGAAGATCGAATTGTGCTGATTGCATAGGCATTAGGCAATGGAGTGGAGTGTGGGATTGAAGAGTGAGACAGTTCTGTTAGTTCTGCAGCATTCATTCCTTTGGCTTTCTTGATGGAATGGGGAGGGTAGTAGCAATGAGTGAAGAAAGAAAGTAGTTGTTTAGAAGAGTCAATCAGCAGCATGCATTTAAGTGTGATTACTGGAAGGCTTATCTTTGCTTTAAATGTGGTTTTATATGTGGGAGAAGAGATCATTGATTTCCCTTTCTGAACCAACATAGATAAGATTTGCTAGTTAAGCTGTCTGGATAAACTGTGGTGATTGTGAAAGGGAAAGCTGCTGCTACTACGCTTGGTGCGGAAGCTGGCAAATTTGCTGCTCATGTTCCTTACTCGACGATGTTCGTTTACATTTTCGATTGGATCAGATGAACCCTAGAATGTAAGCCATAGACGAAGCACATTCCCTGCGGGTATCAATTACCAAATCCCGGACTAGGTGTAGTTTCTAAGGATGTTGCAAGACCAACACAACCATTTGAGGGTTCGTGAATCATGATAGGTGGGATGGTCTGATGAATAAATGTCGATTTCAAAGTAGAACCAGAGGTTAGAAAGAAAATATGATGATCGGGAGAAAATCGAGTTCGAGTCTCGTGGACTACTTGACATCATCGTCTTAAGTTTCTCCAGATTTGGTTATGACTTTATGGATCACGTTGTAGAAACCAGAGAAGTAAACCTTATGTATTGTCACACCATTCACCACAACAAACCATCACAATGGTTACGTAAATGCCAAGGCAGCAATTTGATTAAGGTAAAAACCCTCTTTTCAAATTAATTTATTAGGCCTAACAAAGAAAAGCCTAAAATCTCACCAAATACACAAAAGCCTAAATCAACTTTCTCGCTTGACTGTGTACTTGCGTAGATAATTAACACCATGTTAACACAAATGAAACCTTCGCAAGGGGAGAAAGCTCGCTCTTGAAAACCTCCATATTGTCATGAAATGCATTCTCTATCTTCGCATCTCTTAGTTCATGCCTCCAGCACTTAGCACCAACACAACAGTCGGCGACGTCTTTGTCCTTGAATTGCTTGTATATGAACTGTTCCAATACAGATTACAAAGTCAATTGCATTATGGTGGACCAGCTGTGGTAATAAACTAAACTAGTAATACGAAGCAAGAATGAAGAGGGTGAGCGTACCTCGGCAAACCAGCGATTTACATCAGAATCTTGAGCTATGCAGATGAATTTAGGCCGGCACGCCCAAAACAAACCATCAAGGAACGTGACACCATTTTGTACATCTAACAGTTCCAACGACGAGGTCATCTCCGATTGTAGTAATGTGGCCTCCAATTGCAGGAGTTGAATGATTAATGGAGGCGTGGAGCATTCAGCTTCATACGAATCGAATTTCACCTCAATTCATCAACCAAAAAAACTACATATATCAGTATCGGGACGAGGTAACAACAAGCATCTGTAAATAGAGGATGAAGTTGTAACCATATGATTGAGAGCGTAATTGTCGAGAATCATGAATTCACAAGTAACTAGCTTCAGATCTATGATTTCTTAAACAATAAACTTGCGTCATCCATTGGTTGATTGATATTCATACCTGTCGGAACAAATCTAGGCCGTGCAACCTCAGAATCAGAGGGAAAGGACTCAATGATGAGAGGGACTTCCTCAATCCAAGAAACCATTCGCACTTCGAGGCTGGGGCATCATACCCTTCAACTACGAATCGGCAATCAGGTGACACATTCACGACATTAATCTTGCCTGGAGACCTGAACCTACTTCCACTGAAGTGGGCACTAACCAAATTAGGAGCATCAATTTCAAGCTCCTGCAGCGTCTCCTCCTTGCCCCGGCTGCAGTCTCGCAACTCGAACCCCCTAAGTCGAGGACTGCAAATCCTGATCTTACTCATTTTCCTGCTGCTGCCATCGTTGAACTCCAACGAAAGAGACTCGAGGCACGGCAAGTTGGAAATCAGATCATCAAGATGGTTCTGCTTAAATCCCACGAGTACAGTGAGCTTCAACACTTTCAGATTGGGAGCTGCAAACCGTGACTCCATATTCAGGTTGCATATCCCCTTGTCACCTCTAAACTTCAACGTCTTCAGACATGGGGCTGAAGTGAGCTGGAATTCCATCTGGGGATCACATCCCAACCCAACGGGATAGATTTCCAGAACCTGAAGAGACGGCAACTTGGTGACGAAGTCATTGAGATCGGGCCGTGCAACTACTCCTCTGTAGTAGCTCTTGATTCTCAGAAATGTGAGCTTCGGAGCTGAAAATAAGGACACTGTTCTGAGCTTACACTGCTTCCCTACCTCAGTGAACACTAATCTCTGGAGACACGGGGCTTCAGTGAGCTGAAGGTCAAACTCAGAACCCGAACCGTATGCTCGTGTTTGAATGATTAGGGTTTTCAATTTGGGGAAATTGCTAGCAGAGACCACCAACCCTTCGATTCCAAGCCACGTCAAACTCAACGACTCGAGATTAGGAGCATTACCCACAACACCGTAGAGGAATTGTTCGGTAATTTGGACGTCGTCGAGATGAAGAACCTGAAGATTCTGCAGAGAAACTGATCCCACCCCATTCAAGTCGCAGCCTTGGAGCTTCAGAACTTTTGTGCGGCTGCAATTGGACAACAATCCCTCCGGAAACTCATGTCGCCAGCCGCTTCTGACCACGATCTCGAGCGGCGATCCACCATTGGCCCCCAACGCCGACGCTAGCAACATGGCGAACCCTTCCGCCACGATCTGGGGACACGATTGGCGAATCTTTGCCAGCGATAGCTTGAACGAATCCAACAGCGTGAAGCGATCCTCGTGGTAAAGAGAAAGCCTCACGGCCGAGGCTGCGGCGAATCCGGCGAAACTGTTGAGCCTTTCGGCGGAGTTTTCCAGCTCCTCGTCGCGAAACTCCAGCACCGGATAGGATCGCCATAGGTCGAGCCATCTTCTGGACAGCGAGCTCGTTCTCGCGGCTTGTTTTGGAGCGTCGAGACGGTAAAGGATGTTGTGTACGATCGCGTCGGGGAGTGCTGATATTCGGTCGCCACCGCCGGCAGTGGCGGCCGCGATTGGTGGTCGCTCGTCCATTCAGCTGTCGCCCCCGATGGAGTTCTTGCCGCCACTCTGCTATTTTCTTTGACGGGTGAATTGTAAGTTTGGTCACTCATATTACATATTTGTAACACTTTTGCCACCTTAATCACTTTTTTTCAATTTAGTCACCAATACTTTATATTTATGTCACTCGTAAACACTCGCCGTTTAGGTCCGTTAAATCTGTCTTCCATGGCGGTCAACAGTTATATTTGACTGTTAAAATGGTGACATGGCTGTTGACATGGATTATTTATAAAAACAAAAAGTAAATAAAAAGAATGGACAACGCCGGTCGCAGTTCAACAGCGGAGGTGAAGCAACGCCGGTGACCATCGCATTCCTCGTTGCCACCGTCACCCACATCCTGGCGAAACCCAAGCCTTCACCCGTCCTAACTTCCTCTGAATTGCTTCACCTTCGCTGAATCTCCACCCAAATCCCAACTACCTTCCGCCACCAAATCATCGACATCTTTCTCACATCTAAACCCCTCTTTACCTTCTTTTATCCATTTCGAGATTGTGTTGCCATTCTCTTTTCAAATTCCCCCATAAAATATCGTCCTCCAGCGCCCAAAGCTCCCCAACCTTCAAATCTGGATCCTCCATCGGCGATCGCTGCATATCTAAATCTCCAGCTTCCATTTCCCGGTGACCAGAGCTCTGCGACTCTGTTTCTCCAACCCGACCCGACAAGCTATTTCGCCGCGAAAATCATCGCCGACTCGATTTCAGAAACCCAGAAAACTCCAGCACTCATCCGTAGAAAAAAGAACAACGATCAACCAGCCCGAGCCGGCAGCGAAGCAGAAGCAAGGAGACGAGGAGGCAGTCAGCTTCGTCGGTCCTTTCCTTCTCCCTTGTCTCTCTCTCTCCCTCTCTCTACCTTATCTCTACCTTGTCCATGTTGTTTTGGTCTTAACAACTGTTACGTAGATGCGCCGTAGGGGCGGAATTCTACGTACTGGATCTTTACTCCTCCGGACTTTTGGATACGTTGCTCGACGCTCTCGAGTAGAGGATCTCTTTAATGGCGAGAGCAACCCCAAAATAACTACGAAACTACTAAACTGAACGAAAGAAATAATCAAAGCAAACAAACATAAACTGGGTTCCAATCTTCTCATGACATTAAACGAACGAAACATATACATATTTATAGGCACAAAGCCTCTACCTTTTCCTATCTAGAACTTGAATACTACTCCGCTAAGAACACGACTAACAATAACCTAAACCAACTTGAACAAGGAAAACATTAATTAAGACAATAATAAATAAGACCCAATAATATCCAAATACGAACTAATAAGAAAGATACGCAAGCCCAGTAATTAATGAAATGCTACGATGGCTCGATCTCGTAACAACAACCTCAATATAAATCCCTAATTACCACGAAGAAACAAGCTAGCGATGATGGAAGGGGAATGAAAGTGGAGGAGCTCGAGTGAGTGTTCTGCCTTCACCACCGCTCAAGCCTTAGGCGGCCACATGAACATACATCGGTGGGATCGGCAATTGAGCTAAAGGATGAAAGGTTTGGAATCGATTGCACGATGTGGGTGAGGAAAGAATTAAATTTTAGGACTTTGCTACGGTGACATGCATGTCACGGTGACATGCAATTTTCGGTCGACTTCATATAGGATCAGGTCGACCTAATCAGTTGTTTCAGTGTACAAACGGTTTCATGGTGCCTACTTTGGAGATTCATATCTTACAATTGGCTAGATAGAAATTGGAGATTAAAGGCTTGTTTTGAAGCTGAAGTGTCCCTCTACACATTAAAGTACTTGGGAGCTCAATAGAAAGTCCAGAAGACCATTTTTGAACCTGACCAAAAGGCTATGCCAAAACTGGGAAACTGCCTGAAAATGGCTAAGTCTGGCAACGTGTTTGTCAAGCCTACTTTGGAGCTTAATTTGACAAGCATGGATGCGAGTCAAGTCCAGGGGCCTTTACCACGTTAAATTACGTATTTTTTTATACAAAGGAAAGACATTGAATGAAAGATTGAATATCTTTAAGGCTTCAAACAAAAGGCTCGAAGTTGCTACGAAGGCTGTTTTTCTGGCAGCTTGTTTGTGCTCGAAGTCTGCCAGAAAAACAGCCTTCGTAGCAACTTCGACCCTTTTGTTTGAAGCCTTAAAGATATCCAATCTTTCATCCAATTCCTTGAATTTGTATAAAAACATACCTAATTTAACGTGGTAGAGGCTCCTGGACTCGACTCGCATTCATGCTTCTCGAATTGAGCTCAAAAATAGGCTTCACAAACACGTTTCCAGACTTAGCCATTTCTAGGCAGTTTCCCAGTTTTGGCATAGCCTTTTGATGAGGTTCAAAAATGGTCTTCTGGACTTCCTATCGAGCTCTCAATCACTTCAATATGTAGAGGGACACTCCAACTTCAAAACAAGTCATTAGTCTTCAATTTCCATCTAGCCAATTGTATGATATGAATATCCAAAGTAGGCACCATGAACTGTTTTTACACTGAAACAACATATTAGGTCGACCGGATCCTATATGAGGTCGACCGAATCCTAAATGAGGTCGACCAGATCCTATATGAGGTCGACCGAATTCTATATGAGGTCGACCTAATCCTAACTGAGGTCGACCGGAAAGTGCAAGTCACCGTGACATGCATGTCACTGTAGGCACACCCTAAATTTTAATTATATTTCATATATTAAATATCAATTATTCAATTTCAGTGGAAGCCATAACTATAATTATTTTTTATTTAAATTTAATTAAAAAATTTGATGCATCAATGATTTGGCACCTACATAGCTGCCACGTCACTATTTTAACAGTCAAATATAACTGTTGACCGCCACGTAGGACAAATTTAATGGATTTAGACAGCGAATGACTACGAATGACATAAATGTGTAATATCAGTGACTAAATTGAAAGAAAAGTGATTCGGGTGGCAAAGGTGTTACAAATGTGTAATATGAGTGACCAAACTTGCAATTCACTCTTTCTTTGCCTATTATATTGTTCTCTGAGATTGAGAGAGAGGAAAGGACATTGAGAAACAAAATTTTGTCCGAGTTTATTAATGAAAAATGTTACTGAATCTAATTGGGCCGATAATCGTTGTCGATTTAAGTGTTAATCCAAAAATACAAATCGCAGACCGCGGTTATTCAGCTAATCAATAATAGTTACAAGTGTATCGGTCTTGAATTAGGTTAGGTAATTTGCTAACTGTTTGAGCCTAGAAAGTACTAGGCGGTTAATGTAGTACACGAGTGAAGCGCCTGTTCTTGGTGAGGGAACACACTCCTGAAACCTGCAAAATAAGGGTCCGTGGGCGGTTGCACAAGACACTCTCTGAAGATTAAGTTAGAGATGAAAATGAGAGAATGTGTTAGGTTTAGAGAGAGAGAAAGTAGTTGAGTTTACCATCAATGTTCTTATGGGATATTTATACCGAGTCAGGTAGTGGGCAAGACATTAAATGCTATTTGCCTATGTCAGGCGCCCTAATCATACATCATATCTGTATAGACCGCCTGCCGCGGGTAATTAATGTTCAGTCTTACCCAAATCGATGTACGTATCCTAGAGGATCTTTTCCCTCCTGTCGCTATCAACACTTAATGTCAGGCGGCCTAGCTACTCCTCGGACTTGTGATCCAACCTTCCCGCGCCCCTAGGTTTCCGAGGACCGCCTGTCTCCTCGGTCCTCTGGCAGGACCGAATATCTTGGGCCGGGCCAACTAACTCCTCCTTTTGGGCCTCAAGGCCCAAACCTGTCAACTATGTAGCCCAACACTAAGCAAAGATTGTGAGTTACTAACTGAGCGATTATCGGTGCACCAATAACTCATCGGCCAAGTCCTTCCATCCCATCGGGGACGAGTGAGAGTGCTAATTCTATAGGGGTTAGTAGCATGTTAATTTTTCTAATCACAATTTACTACTTTTAAGTTGAATTTGACGGCAAATTAGTACTAAAGGGCTTGTTCGTATTTAGAATATTAAAATGAGTAAATAATTTAAATTTAACTTCTCTCTCCTTCGTACAAAAAAATATTATATTAGTGATGATGAATTTTTTCTAAATTATTTGCAAACACTACTACTCACATCAGTAATAATTCTAGTGATTCATAGTAGTGATTTTACGAATTTAGTGATTCTATTGTCGGAGGGCTAGTGTTTTTTAACACTTTTTTGTAAGTATGGTTATAGTATTAGCTCCAATCAATTAGAACATTTTGTTTTAATGACCTTTTCATTTAAACAAGTTGACCACAATTAATGAAGGTGACCACAAAATCCACACCACAAATTTATTAGAGTAGAACACAAATTTTGTAGAGTAGTTGAGAAGTTTCTTAATAGTGGACTTATTTGTAAAATTTGAAAAGTTATGGTATCCAAATGTAAGAGAGAAAAAATTTAGGTACTAAATATGATTCTCCTTCCCATTGGTTTGCTTTGCTCCGTTGGCGCCTATAAACCTCAAGCGGCGACATTATAAATCTCAAAACAATGACCAACTAAGATTGAAAACAATGGGCGTGAAAAAGAAACTCCGCAAGGGTAACGGACCAACGGAGGATGATCCACAGCTAATCGCCGCCGACGATCGTATCTCATCACTGCCCAACGAAATCATACACAACATACTTAGCCGCCTCGACGCTCAAAAACAAGCGGTCTTCACCAGCGCGCTGTCCCGAACATGGCTCGATCTATGGCGATCTTACCCAGTTGTGGAGTTTCGCCAAGAAAAGTTCTGCTGCGGCGCCGCAGGGGATAAAAGATTATCCCGATTCGCCGCCTCGGCCCGGAGGTTTTGGAAGCGCAGGTCGCCGTTGGTTGCGTTCCGGTTAACGCTGCCCGGAATTAGCAGATTCGACATCGTCGACGGGTTGATTGCGTCCGCGTTGCGACCCGATGGCGGATCGCCGCTCGAGGTCGTGATCAGCACGGGCATCTCTTACTCGATCCCGGAGGGATCCTTCTCCAACTGCAGCCGCACTAAAGTTCTCAAGCTTCAAGGTTGCGACTTGAATGGGCTGGGACGAACAATTTCTCTGCACAGTCTTCAGGTTCTTGATCTCAGATGTGGCCGAATTACTGAACAATTGCTCCACCAGCTCGTGGGTAATGCTCCTAATCTCGAGTCATTGAGTTTGGAAAAATGTTTTGGAATTGAAAGGCTGGATGTCTCCGCTAGCTATTTCCCCAAATTGAAAACCCTAGAGATTCACACGGGAGGATGTTGGTCTGGGTGGGATTCAGGGTTTGATCTCCAGCTTACTGCCGCCCCTATCCTAGAGAGATTAGTTGTCGTCGAGTTATTGCAGCCATGTAAGCTGAGAACAGTATCCTTGTCTTCAGCTCCAAATCTCAAATTCGTAAGAATCAGGAGCTACTGCAGAGGAGAAATCGCCCGGCCCGATCTTGATGTCTTCATCAACCAGTTGCCATCTCTTCAGGTTCTGGAAATCCATTCTATTGTGGTGGGAAAGAACACCCAGATGGAAATCAATCTTACTTCAGCAGCTTGCTTGAAGGCTTATAAAACGACATGCAAGCTGAATGTAGAATCACCATTTGCAGCTCCCAATCTCAAGGATTTGGAGATTGGGATGACCATCGATGGATTTACACAGTGCCATCTTGATGATCTGCTTTACAAGTTGCCATGCCTTGAGTCTCTTTCCTTGAATCTCAACAATGGTAGCAGCTGTGAAACGAGCAAGATAAAGCTTCGCAGTGATCTGATTCGGAAGTTTCAGTTGTATGACTGCGACCACAACAACAAGGGGGAGACCCTGCAGGAGCTTGAAATTGATGCGCCTAATTTGGTTAATGTCCTCTACTTTGGAAGTATAATGAGGCTTCCAGGGAAGATTGATGTTGTGAATGTGGGTTCTGATTGCCAATTTGTAGTTGAGGAGTTTTGCCCCCCTCGCATTACAACACAATGGTTTCTGGAATTGAGGCAATCTCTTTCAACATTGAGTTCTTTCCACCTGGTTATGGTGTTGGGCCGCCTTGATTTGTCACAACAGGTATGAATATTTCACACCTAAACTATTGCATAAGTTGTTTGTTAAGTGAACTAATGATTTTCTTACAATCTCAACCATTGGCACAACTTCATCCATTCACATATGTGTTTGTTACTCTCCATCACATTACTTTAGTTATATATATGTTTGTTTCTTCATGAATCAAGGTCTCATTCGATTTGGATCAAGTTGAATGTTCTTCGCCTCCTCTAATCATTCAAGCCTTGCAACTTGGAACCACGTCGGAGGCTTCCCCAAACAATCAGAATGATAACCCTCTTGCGATTATTCGAGACTCATATACATTATTTTTGGAACTGCCTTATGTACAAAATTGTGTCACTTTCCTTGATGGTTTATTTTGGGCGTGCCGGCCAATACTCATTTCCATAGCTCAAGACTCGGATGCAAATCGTTGGTTTGCCAAGGTATGCTTACTCTCTCCCATCTAGTCAAATATTACAGATTTTAGTAATTTTTCGTCGTATCGAGTGTGTGTTAGTCATGCATTTCTGACTTTTTGATTTGAACTGGAACAGGTCATGTGCAAGCAACTTACGAATAAAGACGATGCAAACTGTTGTGTTGGTGCCAAGTGTTGGCGACATGAACTAAGAGATGTGAAAATAGAAAATGCAAGTCATGTCGCTAGGAAGATTTCCAAGAATGATATGGTTGGGAATGCTAAGATTTCTTTTATATTAACATGGTGGTAGAAGAGAAGGGGGAGATAAAGGCAAGTTAGAGACAAATTGAAGAGTGAATAGAGAAAAATAAGTAAGGTTATTTTGGCTTTAAACATTTTTACCTCATAATTTATATCTATATTTTATTTACTTTGTTAAAATATTGAATCAATAAACCATTTTGTTCAAAAACCTCGGACACCAAAGCCGGAGGTTTCCCACCACGAGGAGCAGTCGCAGCAGTAGGGACACCTCGTCCACCACGAGGAGATGGAGTTCGCGCCCTAAAAAACAATTACACAAATTGAACTCAATTAAAAATAAAGGACATTAACCAAATTAGGAGCATCAATTTCAAGCTCCTGCAGGGTCTCCCCCTTGTTGTAGTCCGAGTCATTCCTTTGTTAGATTTCTAATTTGTGCATTTAATTTCCTTTGGGTATCTAGTCACTGTAATTTTAAAGAATGAAGATGGTAAAAGTTAGCTAAAATATTTCTAAGTTGTCCATTTAACTCTTTTTTCCTCCGTTGTGCTACCTTTGTAAGCGAAATTTATGATTTATGCATTTAAGTCCCTTTTTGGGATCTAATAAGTGCAATTTTGAAGAATGAAGCTGGTAAAATTTAGCTAAAAAGTAAAAGGGCAATGTCTATTTTTTATCCAAATCTTTTTCAAATTCTTTTATATTATCCAAACCTATCGAAATACTAAGAATTAACCAAATGTTAACTTCCAGTTAGCAATTTTGTTAGTGATGTTGACTTAGCAACATGATACTGACTTGGAAAAGACTCATGAAGGTTAACATTCCAAAATTTTAGTATTTTAACTAAGAAAAGAGTTACAAAATTATTAACGATAACATAAAAATGGCTAATATTTTGATGCATTATGAAAGATTTGGATAACTAATAGAATTTTAATAGATTTGGATAATATAAAAGAATTTGAAAAAGATTTGGATAAAAAATAGACATTACCCAAAGTAAAAATGTATAATAATTTTTCTAATATGACTGATTTTTTTGTTGGAACATTTATATTGACCACTATTTCAATGATATATTTAATTAATTTATTAATAAAAGAATATCTAATAATTTTTTATTTTTGGCCCCCCAAAGTTAACTTCCTGGCTTCACCCCCGTCCCCTGCTAACACCATGTTAATACGAATGAAATCTCCACATTCACATCTTTGGCAAGCGGTAAAACTTCATTCTTGGAAATCTTCATATCCTCATGACTTGCATTGCCTATTTTCACATCTCTCAGTTCATGTCGCCAACACTTAGCACCAACACAACAGTTTGCTACGTCTCGATTTGTAAGTTGCTCACAAATGACCTATTCCAAATCAGAATAAAAAAAGTCAAGATGCATGACAAATGCATACTAGATATTAGAAAAAGCTACAAGACTAATAATAAGTGACGAGCTGGGAGAGGGTAAGTATACCTCCGCAAACCAACGATCTACATCAGAGAATTGAGCTATGCAAATGAATTTAGGTCGGCACGCCCAAAATAAACCATTAAGGAAAGTTACGCTATTCTGTACATCTTGAATAACCGCATTAGGGTTACCACTCTGATAGTTTGGGGATGCCGCCAATGTGAACCCCAGCCGTAAGGATTGAACAATTAGAGGAGGGAAAGAACACTCAACTTGACCCAAATCGAATGAGACCTTCATTCATGGAAAAGAAAATGTAAGTAATGTAATGGGACTAACAAACACATAAGTGAATGGATGGATGGATGAAAAAACAACCAGTTCACTAGCAACTGACCAATGATACCTTAACAATGGTTTATGTAAGAAATATTCATACCTGCTGTGACAAATCTAAGCCGCTAAACCCCATGATCAGGTGGAAAGAACTCAATGCCGAGAAAGATTGCCTCAATTCCGAAAACCATTCGTAGGTCAAGCGTGCTGAGATGAGAGGGAAACCAACCCCCTGAATATCAAATTGGCAATTAGATCCCACACTCACAACATCAATCTTGCCTGGAAACCTCAACATACTTCCAAAGTAGATGATATCAACCAGATTAGGAGCATCAATTTCAAGCTCCTGCAGGGTGTCCCTCTCGTTGCGGTTCCAGTCAGACAACCGGAACTTCTTAAGCCGATCACTGCGAAGCTTCATCTTATTCGATTCACAGTTGCTACCATTGTCCAGATTCAAGGAAAGAGACTCGAGACATGGCAATTTCGAGATCAGATCATCAAGATGGCGCTGTGTAATTCCGATGGCGAAGCTGAGGTACAAATCTTTGAGATAAGGAGCTAGAAATGGTGGTACTATATTCATCTTGCACATTGTCGTACTAATTATAATCGGCAAAGTCTTCAGGGTAGGGGGTGAATCAGGATGTAGCTCCACCTGGACATGGGATTCCCTCCCAAAGATTTCAAGAACACGAAGAGACGGCAACATGGTAATGAAGTCATTAACATGATCGGATTGTACAATTTCTTCACTGTCGAAGTTGGTGATCTTCAGAAATTTGAGATTTGGAGCCGAAGATAAGGACAATATTCTCAGCTTCCATGGCTTCGTTCCCTCCGTAAGGTCTAACCTCTCGAGGAAAGGCGCTGTAGAGAGCAGGAGTTCAAGCTCAGAAACATATCCACCTGTATGAATCTCTAGGGTTTTCAATTTGGGGAAATTTCTAGCAGAGACCTCCAGCCTTTCAATTCCACCAGACAAACTCAAACTCAGCGACTCGAGATTAGGGGCATTCTCCAGGATATAGTGGAGGATTTGATCAGTAATTCTGACAATGGAGAGATTAAGAACCTGGAGACTGTGCAAAGAAACGGTTCCCAGTGCATTCAAGTTGCAACCTTTGATCTTGAGAACTCTAGTGCGGCTGCAATTGGACAACAATCCCTCGGGAATCTTGTAGAAGGAGGTGGTGCCGATCTCGACCTCGAGCGGAGATCCGCCATCGGCGCGTAACGCGGACGCGAGCAACCTGGCGAGTATGCCCTGGGCGGGTTTGGTAATAATGGCAAGCGATAGCCGGAGCGCATCGAGCGGCGTCCTGCGCTTCCAGAGTTTCCGGGCAGAGGCGGCGAATCGGGAGAATTTTCTTTGGCCTGCGGCGGACTTGTTGAACTCGTTGCTGCGAAACTCCACCACCGGGTAAGATCGCCATAGATTGAGCCATCTTCGGGACAACGCGCTTGTTAGTGCCGCTTGCTTTGGAGAGTTGAGGCGGCCGAGGATTTTGTGTATGATCTCGTCGGGCAGTGATGATATAAGATCGTCGGCGGCAATTGACGGTGGCTCCTCCGTTGCTCCGTTGCCCTTGCGGCGTTTCTTTCTCACGACCATTCTTCCCCACCGAGTCTGGTCGCTCCTACTTTCCCTTTTGAGATTTATACTGTCCTTCTTCGCTGAAGTTTTGAGTTGGGCCAATTGAAAATGAGCCCAAACTACATAACGCTAAGAGGAAGGCTGGCCAAGCCCAATGGGCCAATTCAAAATGAGCCCAAGATGCAGGACGTTGAAGGCCGGTGCACAGCACGTGTCTTTTGAAGGGTAGAAATGTAATTGTCTATCGCCAAAAACATCGAGGCTCGTTATCCCGCCCATGGAAATGTCATTTGAAATTTTGAACCAGCGTGTGAGCCGCCTGAGAACCCAACACACACGTGCCAAACCAAACTAGCTCACCATTGAAATAGCTCCGTTTCCCCTGACTTTGCCTCTCGCCGTCGCCATTTCCCCAGCTTCCCTCCTCCAGAAACCCACAGTTCACAGATCACAACAGAGCCTAGGCCTTCGTCCTCGTCACTTCATCTTCTTCCCGGTGAACACAAGTTCCCATTTCCCTTCGCAAAGCCTCTGCTCGAAATCGTCCTAATCTTCTACAAAGGTAAATTACTGCAACCCTAAATCTTTTGTGTGAACGCCGTTGCAGTTGGAGTCGTTTTCTTGCCATTTGATAGAATAATGTCTAGGGTCAAGAATCAACGACTCTCGAAATTAATCTTGGGTTATGGTTTCTGTTTGCTCCTTTTGAAGTCTAGTGAGAGAGGGAGAAGCAAAGATGCCGGAATCCAGAGACAGATTGGTTAGGGAAGTGGACTTCGCCGCCGTTTATGCTCGCAGTCGTACCGTTGGGGTTTACACGGACGAGATGGACAGGGCGCTGTTTGGATCTCGAGTTTCAGAGCCGGTTCAGGTGGAGCGACCCGGGACTGTGTTCGGACCTGGGTTTCGTCCCGGTTTGGCCGGAAGTCGTCGCCCAGATCTTCAGATGAGCAGAAGAAGAAATCCGTCTAGATCGAGGGGAATCGAGAATGGGAGTGCTGCCAGGAGTGGTGATAGAAGAAGCGACCTGCCTTCTTGGTATCCAAGAACCCCTCTCCAGGACATTTCTGCCGTTATCAGGGTAAAAAAACCCCAACCCAGTTTCTCCATTCTCTGCCCTTCTTTCTCTGATTCGCTTGATTCTGGGAATGCTTCTTTGTAAGAATGGAGTCCTTGTTTACGTGTCTTATGGGTCATTTTGATCTTTTTGTCAGTCCCCGTTTGGAAAAGAAATTGAATTTCTTCAGAGGGTATCAGGTCCATCGTTTTTTCCTGGTTTAAGTTCGATTTGAATGGCGTCTGTTTCCTGCTCGAGGAACTGAAGTAAAGGGTTGGATGGTCGATGCTTTTGTGTTTTGCATTTGCCCCTTGGTTTTGAATTAGATAAGCTATTCTTGACACAGGCCATTGAAAGGAGGAGAGGAAGACAGGGAGAAGGGGACGGCCTAGAAATTGGGACCCCGGCGGTTCAAGGTCTGAGAGTTTCTGTGGACTCTTTCAAGACTCCGAACCCAGTTCATCTCAAGCAGGGCAAGCCCAAGTCTCCATATACAGCAAGCAGCAGCGCGATCAAAATCAGTCCTGTTCCTAAGCTTGGTAAGGTGCAGAAGCTAATCCACGAGATTGCAAATCAACCATCTCCAGGGGCAGAGTGCTTAACACCAGAGAAAAAGCTACTCAACTCGATCGACAAAGTCGGGGAAGTAGTGAAGCAGGAGTTGGAGAAGCTTAAGCGAACCCCTGCTGCTAAGAGGGACGAAAGGGAGAAGAGGGTTCGCACACTGATGTCAATGCGGTGAGATTTTGATGGTTGGTAGGTTGGAGCTTGGTTTGAACATTTTGATCATCACCTGCTGGTGATGACTGTGCAGTAGTAGGGTTGGGGTTGTTTGATCACCTTCTGGTGATCTTCCATCGAGTCATGATCACCTTCTGGTGATCCACCGAGTTATTATCATCTCCTGATGATTACCCTTTTGCTGGCTCTTGGAATTTTGTTTCAGCTGGATGGCTCCCAATCAAAAACTTTTGATTGCTTGGTTGTAGATTTAGGAGGTTGCAGCACGCTTATCATTCATTCTTCATTCTGTTGAAGATCTTTTGCTGTATGTCTTCATTCTTTTGAAGGCGTTATTGAATGTATACTGGCAGGCTGTGAGTTTTGTCATATAGTGTATAGAGCTCAACTCCATAGATGATACAGACAGGAGGGACAAAATGCATGCTTCTGCATTTGTATTCTTGGTATGCTAATAAACAGCATGGTTTACTTGTTCTTCTATCCCTTTATTTCGTTTTCTGCAGTAATGAAAAGCTATTTGGTTGCTCTCAGTTGATATACTAATGTTTGGATGTCGCTAATCCTTGGTAGGGTCATTGAGCAGCCTGACAAAGTTGCATAAATGTTTGTGAATGGTGAAGATGGGATTTAAGTACCCCTTATATTTTAATCAATAACAATTTTAATAGGCTTGCATATTTCAAATCCAACATAAACTATAGGCAAAGAGATTTCAAATCATACATCAAAATAGTTTATTGATGAATGAGCATTTGTATTTATGCAGTTGCAAAAGGTCACTAGTTCATACTATTATCTCTTTAAAAGAACAAGTTACAACTTTACTGTTTCTTAGAGTCACATCCCGCCACTGTTACTTGTTTTACTTTTTCTGACCAATATATTGAGAAACACGCCGTCGCGCTGCTCAATGCACACACAGAGGCGAAAGAGTCTACTATCTACTTTTGCTCTGTACTTTCTTTCTCAGCCACATATATTTCCTTTATTCAAAAAAGAAAGCAACTCTCCCTCTCTCTTTATGTCCAGTTTAGAATAGAAAACATCCCTCCATTTGGTCCCTCAATTCTCCTCTCTTGAAACTCTCTCTTCCCAGCTCGCTCCTGGATCTGTTACTGCACAGATTGAGCCAACTTTGTTGTTCTTCAATTCACTGCTCGAGCATCGTCATCTAGGTCGCAGGTGCTGGACCACCAGCTGGCGGATGAGGTAGTCGCGAGAATCCCTCTCTCCCATGGACGCGAAGCTTTGGATCATAGAATCTCATTTTCCTCTATTTCAGGTCGGTACAACGATTTCTTCCTTTCTATGTTGTCTTCGAGCCGGTCGTGGTCTTGTGGCCTATAAGTGTGAAGTGTGTTGCGAACACCTTCTCTGTTTGTGGGTTTTAGGTTTGTTTTGCTCCTACCTGTAGTTGACAGATCTATTCTTTGCCATTGCTTTTGATTTCCCATATGGTATTCGACGCCAAGAGAAAGATCTGGGATTTCAGATAAGGAAGCGGGAACATCGAACACCTTTTGTACGAGTACTCTGCAATAGACTGCGAAAGGATTCTCTATGCTTCCTTCCATGGCAAGAAGCTTGGTTCGGTTCCTGCTTCATGACTTTATGAATCCATCCTTTTATATCCCTCTTCTTAAAGATTTGTAGTCTTTTCTAATGCACTTGCTCATATTATTCTTACCAGGATTTTGACGGCTCGGGATGTTGATAATCAAACGAGAATCTGCATACATTTCTCTCAAGAATTTTGGAGGGTTCAAAGATGGATCTGTCATCCGTTGAAGGTTCAATGATGACGTGGGTGACCGAAATCTCGCAGCGACCAAGGTATTGATGTATTCACTCTCTTTAGATTTATATTCTTCTTATTTCAATTTTGTGTGGGACTTTTTCAACGTTTAAAGCTTCTTTTGCTTTCAATGACCAGTGCCGGAGTTACCGTAGCTACCGCGGAAAGAATAGACGAGCTATTATAGGTAAATGGTTTCAGATGTTAACATCTGATGAAGGTTGTGAAAAGGTTGTTCAATCCAGGTCAGTTCTTCCATCCTTTTGATGAGTAAGGCGATATCGCGTCGGGTTCATGAACTTCCATAATCGCCAATAATCCCTTCAGTAAGTCATCTCGATTCTTTGTTATTTGTTTATTTTTTGCGCGTATCTAACTATTTTCGTCATCTTCTCTGATCTGTGAAGTGGGCGACGGGAGTATCGGGTTCCAATCAGCATATATTTCTGCTGCTGATCCGTGGTGGTCATGGCGATGTGTAGGACGATGAACCCAAATCAACTAAATAGATTGGGAAGTTGTCTCTTTGATAGATAACGCAGACATAATAGTTTGGATATATACAGCTCTCTGGTGGTCGACATGAGTGAGAGGCAAAGAGAGAATCTTGAGTGACCAAGCACCTCCAACCTGAAGCCAATTTGGGACATTACAGCAATGGGGAAGTTAAGGATTTGTAACTCAATCAAGATGTTTTCTTTTCACTTTTGCTCTCACGAATTACATGATTTGATATTTGTTTGATACGTATTTAATTTATGTTCCTTTTCTGTTTAGTGTTACGTTTCTGTATTTTTTCACTCTTCTTTCTATCTGATCTTGCAGGACAAGCTGTTGTTTGGAGTCTGGTATCTAACCAACTTGCCTAGACTCTTAAATTCCTTTTATGATGACTGTACACGGTTTACAACTGCTGAAGATTTTTGCATGATCCACCATGGGGTAAGAAATGGAATTAGTCCACCTTTATCATGTACTTGAATCAAAGATACAAGGAACTGTCGCGCAATCTCTGTTGAGTGATGTTTGCCTAGCCATAGAAGATTCTGTTGTCCTAGGATTTCTTCGTGAGATTTGGACTTTTGAGTTGTGTGCAGTTCTATGATCAAACTCTAGGTAGTAACTGAAATCATATGACTTGAGGATTGAATTAAATCAGAGTTACCGTATTGCTTAGGTTCTCTTAATGTAGCAATGATGCCTTCATGGACACCATTATATAGTTCACTTTCATTCTCTCTTATGCTAGCACATTTGTTGTTGCAAACAGAATGGGAGTTCAGCAAAGTTGAGGGTGGGGAGAGGCCTTTCAACCAAGTCCATCCATAATAGACATTTGACACTTTACAGTACACTTGTGCTCTTTTAAATTCCTGTTTGTAGTAGGCAACACAGGATTTGCTCTTTTTATTTCTTCTTTCTTTTGCAGGTGAAGGATCTTCTTCAAGTGTGAAGTTGTTTGTTGTTACTTTCCCCTCGCCTGCAGAATTTCACTACCCTTTCCACACAACCCAGCTCTGCTGTTCTTTTTTCCGTTCGTTGTCTCCGCCGCGACGATGGTGACCACAAACTCCTGTTCCAGGTGACGGCAAAAGACGGGCTGCACACTCTTCTCAAGCTGCGGCTGGTTCATGCCTGGCGGTGGTCTGGTGGTGCTGCGTTGCTTGCGGTCCGACGACGAGGCTAGAGGAAGCGGTTGTGGTTCGTCGATGGTGACGCAGGACTGCAGGAGCCTTACTATTTTTGTGTGAGCTCCTCTACTTTCTTCCTTTCAGATGGGTGGGTTTTAAATTACGACGGCTGGATTTGAGAGGTTCACCGGTGTTGCCGGGTTCGGATTTCAGGTGATGGGTCTCTTTTTGTGATTAGTTTGTTTACTCTCTTTTCTTTCATGTTTTAGTTCTCATTTTCTTTTTCAGGAGGGTTTCTTCGCCCACTTTCAATGAAAGAGCCATCTTTGTTGAAGGGGAGTATGAATCGGAGGCGATGGGGGAAGACCCATATCTGCAGAAGTGTTTTAGACCAGCTGAAGATCGAGCCTTTTGTCGTTTCACTTTTAGGTTGAGTGTTCTTTGCGTATTTCATTGTTGTACTTTCATTTATGTTCTTTTCGACTGATCAAGCTTTATTGTTGTTATTGTTTGGCCTATTTTGCTTGCTGCCGACAGCAGGAGAAGAGGGAAGCAGCAAGGAAAAGGTGATTTGGGTTACTCTATGATGAGAAGTGGGATTGTGCCCTACCACCTATGAATCGATCCATGGAAAGGGTCAGACGACCCACCGGCACTGTAGACGGTGAATTGCTGGTAAGAACTAGATGGGAGCCCCCCAAAGATGTTTGATTCAGTGCGCTTGATTGTTTGTTGATTTATGTTTGTTTGGATTTACCTGCTCTACCTAATTTCTGCACTTTTTACATTTGTGAGTCCTACTTCTTTTGTTTCAAGTATGTGAAAGAGCCTAACTGAAATTGCATTACCTAACTCAAATTGCATTTTGTTGCAGGTTATTGCAAAGCAAATAATATCATAGGACACCTCACGAGTCTCCAATACATGTAAGCATACGTAACTATCTTCTCTTCCACATGATGCTCAAGGACCTGAGTTGTTTGGATCATGAATCCCATATTCTCTTTTCGTTTACATTTTGGCTGGTGAAGAAGTTTCATCATGAGAAGTAGTTGAAAATGATCATGGACTAGGATTTGAAAGGGAACCATGACAGAATGGAGCCAGAAGAGCTGGTTACAAATTTTTGTTTTCTCTGGTTTGATGCTCAAGAACTTTAGCTGTTTGGATCATGAATCCATATTCTCTCTCTTCGATTACATTTTGGCGGGTGAAGAAAATTTATCATGACAACCAGTTGGAAATGATGGTGGACTAGGATTTGAAAGAGAAGTAGGGAACCATGACAACATGGAGTTGGAAGAGCTGGTTACAAATTTTGGTTTGCTCTGATTTAGGGTTTAACTTTAACTAGCATTTTGTAATTATAGGGTGAGATTTCATTCTGTCTTTTGCTCAGCATTGTCAGTCTTTGTTTGAATAATTATTTATTGGATTGTGATTGTTAGAGGATATAAAACAAAGAAGGATAATAACAGATAAAATGTTTATGCGCGTTGCAAAGATGCTTCTAATGAAAACCCCCAGTAAAATACTTTCCTTGATCATTAGAAGCTTATTATCAGTTTACCAGAAAACTGAATTTACATTCCTTTCTCTTGCAGGCTTGCAGCCACTATTGCCATGTCTTGACTTTACTTGAATGAGGGAGCAAGAGTCTTTCTGTATAGTTCTCCAAAACCATGGCCAAAGTAGAACTCTGGTAGCCTTTGCTCTCATGATTGAAAGACTTGCCATATTGATGTGTCCATTATTGCAAAACCAGCTAAGTTACTTCCTCTCATTTTAAATTTCTAATGGCCATTTGCTGTATTTCTTCCTCAGGCTCCTCTTCACGTATGGAAGTTGAACACTGCCAAAGCCATCGTAAGTAACAAATCGGTGTGGGACGCTGCCAATTTATTGCCTCGGGAAACACTTCCAAACTCATATGTGAATCTTCTACGCATCGCCACTTAGCCTATGATGCAACTGTGAGCAGCCTCTCCACTTTGTTAACGGAATGAACCTTTCCTGACTGTTTGCTTGTTGAGTTCGTTGATTCACTCATTTTTATGGGGGTGGGAGGCCAGATGGTATGAGACTTGGGAAAGGG